TTTTCTGTTTTGTTTTATTCTCGGATCAGGCTTTAAAGGGTTAAATAGCCTTTCCCAGCCAATCGTGGCCTCACCTTTGATGGCGTGGGACTGGAGCTTTAGGCATCTACTATCAAATATTCGACTCGACACCCAAAGTAAATTTCCAACAAACCACGTATATGGCGTCGAAGTCACAACAAAAATCTAATCAAATATATAAATTAAATAAAAATAAATCGCCTTCACCTCCGTTCTTCAGTCTCTGAGGTAAATTACCACTAAATAACATTTTTTATTGATTATTTCTTTAGAATTTAGGAGTTATTGTAGGTTTTTGGAACGAATTCTTCGAATTACAGTGTATATTCTGATGGAATATTTGAAACAACATACCAATATTTTAACATATAAAGTAAATATCAGGCTTCTAGACAGAGTATGTAGTAACAAATTGACCCTCTAGGGGGCAGTGCCACTTTTGATGGGAGATGAGCATAGACTGTAGGCAAATAAGAAAAAGGGAACGGTTCTATGAGAGAACATGTCGCCGGTGAGAGGCAAGTCCAGGAAGAACGGAATAAGGTAGAAACACATTTCTTTTCCTGATGAAAGAAGAGAGTCTACTCTTTCTTTTGGTGTGTTCGGTGTTTACATAGTCATAGCACAAACTATTCTGTGGCTCTAGAAAAATCAGTCAAAATGCTCAAAAAACTCTGGCAGTATGGGACTCTGTTCTGAAAATGGCTGCCAGTCAATGAGTTAATATCCAAAAAGTATTTCAGTTTTTTCTTTTTACATATTTTGTTAAAAGGACAAATAAGGAATTCAAACCAAAAAAGTTATTTTCGTGGCCTCACCTTTGCTGGTGCGGTCCTCGTGCGGATGTCCTCGGCACTTATTTCTTTAATTTAATTTATTTCTTTTGACATCTCTCTTATATAATGCATTTGTATCATTGCTATGTGTAATTATCTGCAGTATTTATTAAGGAGTTATCGTAGATTTTTGGAACGAATAATATAAATTACAGTGTATTCTGATGGGAATATTTGAACCAACATACGAATATTTTAACATACGAAGTTGGTCCTGGAAACAGTTAAATTCCTATGTAGCGTAATATACAGATAAACAACCATTTTAGAACAATTTTAGTACTAAATCATGGAGCAAAGGTGAACTGAAGGTAAGAGTGCTCTAAAGGCTCTAAATACTTGACTGCCACCTTTCTCTGCATTCTGAGCTTTAATTGGCTGCCGCCACCTCCCAGCCAATCGTGGCTCACCTTTGGTGGCGGCGTCCTCGTGCCTGATGGCGGCGTTGAGTGTGGTCAGCGTT